GAAGGAGCTAAAGAATTTTCTTAATCATAATAAGCTTGGTAATCGGAAGCTCCATGTTAGCCTTAGTTTGAATTAAGAAATTAAGCAAAAATCGAAATTTTTTGAAGAAAAAGGCTAAAAATCACAGTTTTAGGTAAAAATTCATATTTAACGACGATTTTGCGTAAAGCAAGGAGAGATACTGAAGGAGCTGAAGAATTTTCTTAAAGAAATTAAGCTTGGTAATCGAAGGTTCCATGTTAGCCTTAGTTTTAATGGAGAAATTTAAGCGAAAATCGAGATTTATTAATAAAAAAAGATAAAATATCACTTTTTAGGGTCAAATTTTAAATTCCTTTTAATTGTCAAAGAAATAGAAAATAATGTTGAGGGGATTGAAGAATTTTTTTAGAGAAAATATGTTTGTTGATTAAAAGTCTCCTTTTAACTTTAGTTTAGTAAGTATTTGGCAAAAATTAATTAATTGTCTTGTAAAATTGATAACTTGGTAACATTATTGAATTATTTGATAAAATTAATTAATTACATAGTAGAATTAATAATTTTTGTAAAAATAATTAATTATTTAGAGGAAGGTAGTCAAGGTTCAACCTTAATGATAGTTAGATTATTATTATTATTACAATAATTTGACGATATTCTTGTTCTAATAAAAGATACATAAAAAATAAAAATTTGTAGAAGAAAAAAATTTTTTTTTTCAAAATTTAATTCTTCAAGATTTCTCTATGTATAATTAGAAAAGAAAAATCGATTGATAGGTAGAATTAATTTGTAATTGGTAAAACTACAGTTATTATCTCGTTCTATAATCAGAAACAGTAATTCTCTTACAATAAAAACACGAGAATGTTGATTGGTATTATTGCTATTATTAACACACAATATTCTATTAATGTTTCTTTAACGGAAGCTGCGCATTTTAACGACAGGTATCGATAATTTGTCGCATTAATTTTTAAATTATAGATTCAAATCATTTTCTATAATACATCCATCATTATACAAACAAATTTTTATTATTGTTATTATTATTATCATTAATTATTGGTTAGGAAAATTATTTTATTACCTGGGAAATGTAATTATTATTAATTAGCCATCTAGAAAATTAGTAAATTAATTAATATTTAGAAAAAAAGTGGGAAAATTATTACTTAATGGAGGCAAGAAATTGGAAAATTAATTATTAATTAGGAAAATTAGTATTAAAACTATTTATTTATTAAGAAAATTATTTAGGGAAATGTTTATTAATTTTAATTGTAAAATTTATTAGCTAATTAATTATTCATTGGGAAAATTATAAGCTAATTAATTATCAATTAGGAAAATTATTGGCTAACTAATTAAAAAAATTATTAACTGATTAATTAATAATTAAAAAAATTATTAATATTATTAGCGAACATTATTTAGTAAAATATTAATTAATTAACGAAAATTAATTATCAAAGTTTTGTATCAATTGAGGAAAATTAAATAAAAAACTATTAAATAATTAGCGAGATTAATTAACAAACTATTAATAATTTAGCGAAAATTAATTAGCAAATTATAAATCAATTAGCCAAATTTAATTAGGAAATTAGTAATTAATTATTTTTAATTAAAAAATTAAAAATGTTGTGAAACTGGAAAGAATAATAATTATTAACATCGTCTATAAAATAATTGTTTAGTGGACAATTAATAACGCAAACAATTTAAGATTCTCCATTCTAAACATAAACAATAACAATTACAAAATGATAATTGTGTTATATCATTGCAGGCATTATGTTACATAACAATAGCCTTGGATTAATGATCATCACCGTCATTGTATATGGAACTATGCATTCTCCTCGAAACAGAAATGTAAAAATAATCTTCATAAAAATGGATTTTATTTATGTTTCATTTATGTTTTCTTATTTTTATTTAATTATAATTGCAAACACTATTCATTAGCTGTATTAACATTGTCTAGGTGGGAAATTGAAAAATTTAAATAAAATTAATATTTTACTTTTATTATTTGAGTAATTTTAATTTTATGAGGGGAAACATAGTTAATATATGTTTCTCTAATATTAATAACAATAATAATAATAATAATTAAAAAAGTTAAATTAACTTACAAAAAACGAAAAAATAATTTTTAAGATTTTACGTTTAGCCCTTTGCCATAAGTAAATCTAGATTTTCGCTTAATTTCTCTATGAAAATTAGGGCTAACATGGAGCTTTCGATTACCAAGCTTGTCGTGATTGAAAAAAATTTTCAGCTCCTTCAATATCTTTTCCTACTTTTCGCAAATCGTCGTGAAATGTGAAATTTGACATAAAAATGTGATTTTTAGCCTTTTTCTTGAATAAATTTTGATTTTCGCTTAATTTCTCCATAAAAACTACGGCTAACATGGAGCTTTCAATTACCAAGCCTTATACAATTCAGAAAATTCTTCAGCTCCTGAAATATCTTCACTTACATTTCGCAAAATCATCGTAAAATTTTTAATTTGACACAAAAATCTGATTTTTAACCTTTTCCTTGAATAAATCTCAATTTTCGCTTAATTTCTTAATGAAAACTAAGGCTAGCATGGTGCTTTTGATCAACAATCTTATTTTCTGTAAGAAAATTTTCCAAATCCTTAAAAAAAATTTTACGTTTCTTTCAAAACTAACAAGAACGTAAAATTTGACACTTAAAAGTGACTTTCAGCTTAATTTCTTCATTAAAACTAGGGCTAACTTAAAGCTTTCGATGACCAAGCTTATTATGATTGAGAAAATTCTTCAGCATCTTCAATACCTTTTTCTACTCTTCGCAAAATCGTCGTAAAATGTGACATTACACGCAAAATTGTGTTTATAACTATTTTTCTTCAATAAATTTCGATTTTTGGTAAATTTCTCTATTAAAACTAAGGCTAACATGGAGATGTCGATTATCAAGCTTAATACTATTCAGAAAATTCTTCAGCTTCTGCAATATCTTCGTCTAATTTTCGCAAAATCGTCGAAAATTTTGAATTTTCCCACAAAAATCTGATTTTTAACCTTTCTTTTGAATAATTCACGATTTTCGATTAATTTCTCCATTAAATCTAAGGCTAACATAAAGCTTTCGATTACGAAGCTGATTATCATTGAGAAAAATTCTCAGATTCCTTAAAATTCTTTAAAATCATTCACGATTTTTTGAAAATTGCAGTAAAAAGTGAAATTCGACCCAAAAATGTGATTTTTAGTCATTTTCTTGAATAAATCTTAACTTTTGCTTAATAACTCCTTGTAAACTAAGGCTAGCATGAAGCTTTCAATTAACAATTTTATTTTCTCTATGAAAATTCTTCAAATCGTTAAAACTTATTTTCTACTTTTTTTCTTAAATTGAAAATAACGTAAAATTCTACACTAAAAAATCGTTTTCAGCCCTTTTATACTGATAAATTTTGATTTTTACTCAATGTCTCTATTAAAACTAGGGCTAACGTGGAGCTTTTTATAACCAGACTTGTTATCTTTCTTGTTATCTTTATAAAATTTTTCAGATTTTTTAAAATCTTTTCCTAATTCTTGCAAAATCGACATAAAATTTCCAATTTGACCAAAAATTCTCCTACAAAACACGAACTAAAATGGAGCTATCGACCACCAAGGTTAATTTATTTGAGAAAATTCTTCAGCTCCTTCAATATCTCTCCTTGCTTTTCGCAAAATCGACATTAAATTTAAAATTTAACCCAAAAATATGATTTTCAGTTTTTTTCTTTTATAAATCTCGACTTTCCTCTAATTTCTTCATTAAAACTAAGGTTAACATGGAGCTTTCGATCGCTAAGCTTAGTTTCTTTAAGAAAATTTTTCAGCTCCTTTAATACCTCTCCTTGCTTTTCGCAAAATCGACATTAAATTTGAAATTGAATCCAAAAATGTGATTTTTAGTCTTTTTCTTTTATAAATCTGGATTTTCGGTTAATTTCTTCATTAAAACTACGGCTAACATGGAGCTTTCGATCGCTAAGCTTAGTTTCTTTAAGAAAATTTTTCAGCTCCTTTAATACCTCTCCTTGCTTTTCGCAAAATTGACATTAAATTTGAAATTTATCCCAAAAATGTGATTTTTACTCTTTTTCTTTTATAAATCTGGATTTTCGGTTAATTTCTCCATTAAAACTACGGCTAACATGGAGCTTTCGATCGTCAAGTTTAGTTTCTTTGTGAAAATGCTTTAATTCCCCCCAGATCTTTTCCTTTTTTTCGCAAAATCGACATAAAAAATGAATTATAATAATAAAAAGTACCGTTTTTCTCTCTTTCTTTCTATTTCCAAGAATTTTTTTTCCAATTTTGTTTTCATTCTTTACAATTGAATAAGAAAATGATTATTTCCTCTTATCTAACACATTATAATTACTGAAACGAGAGTGAAATAATTTCAATTATTCAAGATTTCACACGAAGAATTTGAGAATTTTTTGAACGAGAGAAACAAGTGCGAGAATAATAGTGCTGTGTGTTCATCATGAGAAAAATAACAATAACAATAACAATGATGATGAAATAATAATGAAAATGAAAATTTAGAAGAGAATGAATCTTGTCGCGAGAGAAACTGATATAGTTTTATATTCGTATATTAGATTAGGGGGAGGGGGGAGAGAGAGAAAATCGGCTGAGTGTACTCTCTCGCATCTACGATTGTGTGTGGTTAGTCCGGTCAGTCTCACGATCTCGACCGAAGAGTCGAGTCGTTTCTTACGACGCGCTATACGTGAATTATTTTACATACATACAAATACACACACACATATATATCTATATATATATATATAATAAAAATAAACAACCACTTTATGAATCATATTTTTTTCCATCTAAAATTTTTTTTCACATTTATAAATTGTAAAACAAGAATGTAAAAATTATGCAAAAACAATTATAATTTTTTTTTACTTACACATTTAAAAAAAATTATTGAAAGACAATTATAATATTTTTACTTCGAAATTGAAAAAAAAATTCTGTTGACATTATAATAAATTTTGCTCCTATATTTATTGCTTTTAATTAATTTTTTTTGTTTATTTATTTTTATTTGACAAAGGATTAAAAAAGACGTTTTTCTGAATATTGGACATTTTTGTTTGTTTGTATTAATATTTTTACGTCGAAAAAATATTGAAGGAGATTTTTTCGAAAAATTTTATTTGTTTACAAAATCAGTTCAGTGTTGTAAGTGTCGAATGTGAAAAAAAATTGACAGGGATATTTAAAGAGATACTCGAAGTATTTATAATAGACAAAAAAACGGGGTAAGTTTGCATTCATTTTGAAATTGTTAATTAATTTGAAAATGTTGTTTATTTATTATTGAAATAATTAATTTGAAAAAGTTGTTTATTTATTTTTTAAAATAATTTGACTGCGAATTTCTTATTATTAAAAATATATTTAGTGGGAATTTTACTTTATTATTATTATACAAATAATTTAACGGGACTGTTTTTATTATACGAATAATTTTACCGGACAGTTTTTATTATTAAAAATAATTTTACTGAAAATTTTTAAGTATTAAAAATAATTTTTCTGATAAATTTTAAGTTTCAAAAATAATTTTTACTGAAACTTTTTATCACTATTCATAACAATTTTAGCGAAAAGTTTTCATTATTCATGTTTTATTAAAAATAAATTAAAAAGAAATGTTATTACTGAATATAATGTTTCATTATTAAAAACTATTTACAAATAAATTTTTTTACAAAAACTAAACTTACCGAAAATTTTCTTCTTACCAAAAATAATTTTCCTATTATTTTTTTACTGAAAATAATTTTCCTAGTAATTTTTTTTTACTAGAAATAACTTTTCTAGTATTTTTTTTTACTAAAAATAATTTTTCTACTGATTTTTTTTTGTTATTGTATTTATTACTTTTCTATTAAAACTAATTTTACCGGCAGTTTTTTTTTGTTATCAAAAGATAATTTTCCCGGAAATTTTTTGATTATCAAAAAGTAATTTTACAGAAAATTCGTTCTTATTTTTTAAAAAATAATTTTACTTAAAATTTTAATAGTTGAAAAAAATTGGATAAAGAAATTAATTGTCGCACACTTACTGATTAATTAATTATTAATTAAAATTTCTGATTAAGTGACATCTGTAGTATATTAATTGAATATTGATGGTCCATCTGAAAAGTAAGAGCGCGAATTTTTTTACTCATAAATGAATCAAGCAAAATCATACTCAATTTTAATCGGTCTAATTGCGAGTTAACTTTCTCTGTTGACGATAAATCGAAGAAACTCCACTTTTTTCTATTATTGTTATTACTATTATTATTATTATTATTATTATTTTTATTATTATCTTTATTTTTATTATTTACTTCTCTCTATTTTATATTATTGTTATATTTATTTTTATAATTAGAAAATATTTTTTTTGCTATGTTTATAAGTAATAAAAATAATAATAATTATAATAATTTTTTTATAATATAAAAAATAATAATAATGATTATTATTATTGTTATTATTATTATTATTTTTTACTTTCATTTATTTTAAAGTAATGAAAATAATAATCAAATCAATTGACAAAAAACGGAAAAATAAATTTTAAGTTTTTAAAAAGCCCGCGCAAAAATTTATTACCAGAGGGCGCCTTTGCCTTTCTCACAAGTGGTAATATCTTGCATAGAATTATTGTAATAATAATTGAAGTAATAATAAAAATGTGATAATAATAATAAAAATAATAATAATAATAATAAAATAATAATAAAAACAATATTAATGACAATAATTATTATTAATAAAAATAATGATAGTAATTAATAATTATTAATTATTTTTATTATATTATATTTAGAGTCAGAATGTATAAATAAATAGAATAAATAAAATAAAATTTTTATTATTATTATTATTATTATTATAATTATTTTAATTAACATAAAATAAAATTTTAGTTATCGAGTTTCCCGATTATTATTTTGATATCAAAAATTGCGAGCGATTAATTTTTAAGGATTCAGGTACTCTCCACGCTCGAAGGATTAAAGTTACGTTACATGTGGCGCACGAAAGTGAAATCCTGTGCGTTCCTGGTTAACACGATGATTGAATTAGATAATGAAAAAAAAAGAACTTGGTTAATTATAAAAACCAATCTCTCCTCAAGTGAAATCGCAATTTTTTTTTCTCTCTATTTTGTATAATATATATTGCAATCATAAGGAATTAACTATATTTGAAAAAATTTTCAAGTCCCAGCTTTATTAAAAATTATTTATTAATTAATTTTTCCAGAAATAAAAAGAATTGAAAGTGAACTGGATAGAAGAATATTAGGTAATTTTTGTTATAGTTTTAACGGAAATGAATTCGAAATTTTTGTGTGAATAAAGAATTTTATTTTTAAATAAAAAAAAAAATTAATGGTAGAAATTTTGGAATTCAGTATTTTAGTAAAATTAATTAATTATATAGGAGAATATAGTCAAGGTTGGACCCCCACAATTATTATTTTATAATACATATTAATATTATTATTATTATAATTATTTGATCTAAAATATTACCACTTGCGAGAAAGCCAATGGCGCCCTCTGGAAAATATTTGTAACGCGGGCTTTTTAAATTTTCAAATTTATTTTTTCGTTTTCAGTAAATTAATTTAACTTTTTTAATTACTATTATTATTATTTATTATTATTAGGAAAATATAGTCAAGGTTGGACCTCCTTTAACTATAAATATTCAAACAAAATAAATTAAATTACAAATTAATGAAATAATTTTTCTAAAATACTTCATTTAATTCTATCTAATACTATTAATTAATTTATATTAAATGATTCCAAAAATCAGAATTAAAATACAAAAATGTTTAAAACAAAAGGAAGAAAATAGAAAACTAACAAATTTTCCTATTTTTGATTTTATTGAAAATTATTTTTCCTTCTTTTCATTATTATTTATAATTATTTACACATTTTTACAAGGAAGAAATAACGAGTATAATATATAAATTTTTTTTTCTTTTGTTTATATTTGTTTTATTTCAAGAAATATAAAAAGAAATTTTTTTATAAAAAATAAAAACAACTCTATTTTTCTATGATTGGCGATATTAAATTCAAAGCACGATTTCCTTTGGCGATCATTGAAAACTTATTACCCTAAAAAAACCATGAGTTCCAGTCTGATTAGCTCACACGTATCGTTAAGACAGCAATTAGATTTCGCATTCGTGTCACGAGAGTCTATATATTTTAATGAATAATCAACTGGTATGTTGATTTTTATATTAATAAAAATAAAACAAACACACACACTTATATATATATATATATAAAATTTAAAAATAGAGAAAAAATAAATATATAAATAAAAAGAACTAGAAAACAAATTCCTTCGAAAGAGAATTTAATATGAAAGTTATAGCGTGTTATAAAGCAATAAAACTATAATTATAAATAAGATTATATCATTTTTATATAAAAATGAAAAATTTTACACAACATGTAAATTGGAAATAATAAATTTATAGTTAATGGAAAAATTAATCACGCTTACTTGGTTTGGAAATATGCTAAAGTTACGGTAAAAAGAATGTAAGGAAGTCTAAATTTAAGCTAGATTGACGCTATTATGACGCTTTAATGGTGCTAAAATCACGCTAATATTCCGCTAAAATGACGCTTTTTTACTTTAAATAATATTATAAATTATAATAATCACGCTGAACTATTTTAGAAACACGCTAAATTCACTTTAAGATTCTGTAAGAGACGCTAAATTGACGCTAAATAGACTCCAAATGAATACTATATTGACGCTGAAATTAATCTAAATTGACTCTAAATTGACTCAAATGATCAAAATTTATGCTATATTGACGCTAAATCGACTCTAATTTGACGCTAAATGAACTTATTTGAAAATTGAAATTGAACCTAAATTAACGCTAAATTAACACTAAATTGACTCAAATTTAACGCTAAATCGACTCAAAATTAATGCTATATTGACGCTTAATCGACACTAATTTGACGCTAAACGGACTCATTTCAAACTTTAATTGAAAGCTTAATTAACGCTAAATCAACATTAAATTGATGCTACATTGACGCTAAATTGACTTAAATTTAACGTTAAATCGTCTCAAACTTGATGCTATATTGACACTAAATCGACTCTAATTTGACACTAAATGTACTCAAAGTTGACGCTATATTGGCTGTAAATTGACACTAAATTGATATTATATTGACGCTAAGTGGAATCTAAATTGACTCAAATTTAATGCTATATTGAAGCTTAATTGACTCTAATTTAACGCTAAATAAACTCAAAATTGATAAAACATTGACCCTAAAAGGAATAAAAAATGACGAAAAATTGACTGATTATAAATCACGCTAAATTATTTTAGAAACACGCTAAAGTTCCTCTAAGATTTTGAAAGATTAACGCTAAATTATTCACGCTAAATTGTTGTATAACACGCTAAAATCATTCAAAAGACGCTTTAATTGACGCTTTAAATTTACTTTAAATGACACTAATTGTATGTTTGAAAAAAATCAAGTTTAGATAATTGTACAATCATTTTTCACTCAGAAAACGCTAAATTACTCTAAAATCACGCTTTTAACGGACTTTTTAAGATTTTTATTTCATTTAACGGTTGTTTCAATTTCTAAGGTCAGGCAAAGTTGCTCTAAAAGCACGCTAAATTAAATCCACGGTACTTAAGATTTGTAGAGTCAGGCTAAAATTTTCAAAAATCACGCTAAATTAATCTTACAGTGTTTTATTTCTCTAATGTTTCACTAAGTAACTCTAAAATAACGCTAAATTAACTTTTCCATTAGTTCTTCAAGGTCGCGCTAAATTACTCTATAATCACGCTAAATTAACCCTTCGGTCCTTTTTCCATTTAGAGGTCGTTAAGTTATTCTAAAATCACGTTATATTTATTCCTAAACGACGCTAATTTACTCTAAATTGACGCTTAATTATACTAAGATCATTCTAACATACTTTAATCTAACACTAAGTCACTCTAAACTCACTCTAATTTACTCTAAAATCACGCTAAATTAATCTTTCGGTCCATTAGTTCTCCAAGATAACGCTAAATTACTCTAGAATCACGCTAAACAAACTCTTCGGTCCTTTTTTCGTTCAGGGGACGCTGTGTTACTCTAAAATCACACTATATTCTAAAACGACGCTAATTTACTCTAAGTTGACGCTAAATCTTACAGCGTTAATTAATCTTACAGTGTTTT